CTGGAGAAGAGGTCAGGCAGTAGGGGGCGTAAGTTTTCTCTACTGGCAAAACCGTGTAAAGCAGCTGTTACGTACACCATCACATGATGCTTCTGAGGAAGGCAGTAAACAAAAAGAATTGCTCATTTGTGTCATGATTTACAAAACATTTATTCCCTTATAGTAACTATCAAACAAAATGGTTCTATTATAGCTACTACCACACCAAATTTGTATGTAAACTTGCAATACTTAAACATTTCTCTCCTGTATTTTCAAAGTGAGTCACATTTGCATTAAAATATATGCTAACCACTTCATAGACAACAACAGAAATGCTACACTGCAAAAAAATTATTGACTTTAAAGTTAAATTATCTCCCAGTGGAATCAAATATACGTTTATTATTAATTTACATTTGCAGATTATTTTACTTTGTCAAATTAAATTCACTCCAATTAAGATGATAGTACTAATTCAAGTAATTTTAACTTATCTATACCACTTTAACAGTGTATTTCAGTCTTCTTGCTGATAAGATGGATTCTGGCTATAACAAAAAACAAAAAAGTTGCACGGGTGTTTCATCAAATCATGTTTTCAAGATACAACATCCAATAAGACAGAGAGATGTAGAGATGTTCCTGGTTTTATCACTAACAACTAAAATGGACGGACATGAAATCTATATCTTTTGGTGCAATCTGACAATAGAGTCCTTTTATCTGATTCTATTTAGGTAGTGGTCATGCTGCTCCAATCCTTTTTCCTGAATCTCACTTACAAGGTCCTCTCACTTTTTATTATGGATTTAATATTTGAAAGCTACCCAAGACCTCAACCATTTGACTATATTTGGAGGCTTTTGTCTATCTATTGTCTCATACAGGTATGTTTCCCTTCCTAGTCTGCAGATCTGATTTTGCCTATTTCAGACATGAATTTCTCATATTAAATTTAATCTTTATCTCTCAAGCTGCTTTATACTGGGGATAGTTCCTGTCAAGAGTCCAAAACCTGTAGACTTTTTCTTTTCAAAATATGGACTTGAATGGACTTTTTTTTCCTTTTCAATTTTTGCTTTCATTCATGTTTCAGTTTTTTGTTATGTCTAACATTTTGAGGACTTTTTCCCATTCCAAAAATATACCCATGGATATACTGTCAATGCTACATCTATTTCAACAGCTATTACAGAGTTGTTTACAGTAAAAGGTCACGTTTATAGCGCCTCTCTAACCATCCACCCATTCATGTTGGGTTTCCATGTTTCTTGAGGATATTACATTGAATTCATTTCCTGCACAGAGATCTTAACCTTCAAGAACCCTTGTTTCTTCCTAATCAAAAACATACATGGAGTTTTGTTTCATTTCATACATACATTTTAACACAAAAAATCCTGCATATTTAAACTTTAGAGTTCTTCTCTCAAGCATAAAACACTCTGTTCCACCTTGTGATGTCATGTTGTAATACAAGAAGTGATCCACTGTGTTTTTAAATTTTACACACCTTCACTAGAATTATTTGGATAATTTTATCCAATTGCCCATCTCTAATAGCCTGATTCATCAGCCGGTTTCACTTCATGGAAACCGTCTGACCTTGCAGCATTAGGATTCTTTCACTCAACTGTACTTTTTAATTTAACCAATCTCTGCTATTTGGTTGTGACGTATGTAATGCACCAAATCCTGTAAGAAGAAGGGAAATAACGTCTTTCCCCTTGATAAAATTCACCAAACATTCTCTTTGCTCCGGCTTTAAATTCTTGATCTCAGGAATAGTTGCCAAAACAGAATGTATGGCTTTGTCTACATCCATCTCGACCACTTTGTTTACTGTTGTGCTGTACTACAAAAGGGACTCAGACAGGCACTTGAGTTTGACATCGTGGCTTCACAGCTCTTCACTTATTGGTCGGTGCGCGATCTACAACTTCTGGGGTTCTTGCAAATCATCTATTGTATTCCGATTCCTGACCTAGTCGCTGGAGAGAAATGAAGTGAGCGGAGGCACTAGGTGGTGCCAGCCTGGCTACATCTCTACTGAACTAAAGATAAAAGGAGTTTGTTAAATTGAAAACTACCACTTTGTGACATCACAAGGTGCAAAGTGGATTTTGAGCTTTAGAAATGTAGACAGTGAATTAATCAAAACACAACTCCATGTATGTTTTAATGAGCTATGAACATTATAACATGTCTTAAAGCTCAGTTTTGCGTATTTTAGAACGTTTAACCAATTTAACCATATAACTTTAACCCATGGAGCTTTTTAATAATAAAGCAATAAAATCTCCATGGAAACAAGCAGGTGACAAACTCCACAAAAAAGTTACATATTGCACTTTAAAATGATCAAAACTACAATCATCATCATTATTACTACTGTCCAAACATATACTTCCTAATCTTCACCTGCTACATAATGTAAGATACTGCATAAAGCATGTAAGTAAATGTGTTTTCTACATTTGATCCTTCAACAAACAGACAAAACTCATTAGAAACAGAGTTATATATTAATCAGGGGAACCCATAAGACACCATAGGCCTCTAAACATCCATTTCCAGTGTTTGATCTTACAGCTGATTTAAATGGAGAGGTGGAGGACAGAAAATGGAATGGAAAAAGCAACAGGGACACAGAGGAGTATTTAAGCTGAAATCTCCAACATAATGGCACTTCATTCCTCAGAGACGTATGGGCGAACAATTTTATGAGCTGCACTGTGTAATGTCACCCGCCTTTTCCTTTCAATAATGTACACAACGCTAATGCAGGGCCAGCCAACAGCGTTCGAAAAACATTTAGAAGGTCGAAGATAAAACATAGAACCTAAAGACACTTCTAGATCTGTTGTGTGCCTATAATATGTCTCACTTTCACAATAATTCTACACAGCAAAAAACAATATCTAAGTAAGTTAAAATTTAAGTAATTTTAACTTACTTACTTAGATATTGTTTTTTGCCGTGTAGAATTATTATTATTATTATTATTATATTAAGAGCATTTGACTTTATCTACCTATCAACCAAATTATCTGCCAATGGAATAAGTGTGTATTTCTTAATTCAAGCAACATTAGAGTTTGTTTCTAATTTTAAAGGTGCCCTATGTAACTTGCTTGTTTCTATGGAGATGTCATTGCTCTGCCTGGAATGTCCCACCATATGACATTAAACAGCTCTGTCTTACATTTATTAAATTACGGGCGGTTTTATAGCTCAGAAATACCTGAAGAAAAAAAAAATGGCATTCTGACAGTGAGTGAAGTTGCTCCTCCACAGATCTGACCTATAACTTGTCCATGATAGAAAGGTTTAATACCATACAGTGAAACATTTCAGACAAAGCAATATCGAAAAGATACACAATGCACCTTTGCAAAGAGTTTGGTTTTCTCAAGTGTAGCAAGATGTATTTTTATATTTTAAGTATAAAAATCTTGTTTCTATTGGTAGATCATTTTGCATTTTTTTTATTTTTTATTTACAAATTAAAATGTTCAAATAAACAAACTTGGCTAGATTTTAGTTTTTATAAGTGTAATGGTTGCATGTGATGTTTTGTACTTATTGATCTCAGTGTAGACTGAGCATCAAAGCAAATGGCTCATGTGTTTGTTTCTCAGGGTTCTCAAAAGACTGAAGAAATATTCAATACAGTACTACAAATGTGGAAACTGTCACTACTACTAATTAAACATGTGATGTTATATCCATTAGTACCACTACAAATGAGGGTATGTGCAAAGTTCAGTCAAGTAAAAGCAATGCAGCTATAAGTAAAGCATCCATACACCATTTTCTGATCTATGTTATAATGTTTCCTCATCAAAAACTTACCCACCATTGTGTTTTCAAACTGAAAACACTCTGTTCCACCTTGTGATATCATGTGGCAATACTCCACTGAATTTTTAAGATTCACACACCTTCATTACAATCATCTGGATACTGAACTAAAGATAAAAGGTAGCTGTTACCTTGAAAACTACTACTACATGAAATCACAAGTTGGAAAAGAGCATTTTGAGCTTTAGACATGCAAACAGACTAATAATAAAGGGTTAGAGAAATGTGTGTGAATGAAACAAAACACAACTCAGCAAAATAGCTCACAAGAGTTCATTTTGCGTAATAAAGAACTTTTAAACAGGTACTAGTATTACCTACTCAAATAATAATAATATGACATGTTTTTTGCATTATACCTCATATATATCACAATTAGAAAGCACAAAAATACATAAAATAATAGTAATATATCGGGACTTAATGTTGAAAATGCAATGCAGCGTTTCTCATTTAATCAGCTAAATCAACTTGTCATCACAACCACCCACCCCATGTTGTCACCATATTTGAATGTACAGAATACTGGGTTTAGCATTCATTTACATTGATTAATTAGTCATGTTTACATATTTATGCAACCTATTTTATATGTTTAATCAGCTTTACAAGAGTGTACCTCAATAATATCAAATCTGTCTCAAAAGGATCCAGACTAATTTGCTGCCAAACAAATCCCACACAAACAGGATTTAAACATCCGGTTCTGATAGTACAGTGTACCTCCTACAGCTCAAAATAAACAGAACAGTTAGTCATTTTGCTTAGGGTTCTTTGAAAAAAACTTCACTGAAAATAGCTCATCTCCTCTACCCAACATACTTGATTCTTTCCACAGCAAAAGTAAAGGAGACTTTTTTTTTTTTTTTTTTTTTTTTTACATTAGCCTATATCAGAGAAGAAAAATATGGAGAATAATGAGGGTAATCTCTTAAACTGCCACATTTGTGACAGTGATTCAAAATATTTCCTGAGAAAATCCATTTACTGCTCTATTTTTAAAAGACTGTAGGCTATAATTATGACGCACAGTAAAATCTAATGTCTCATATTAACTTTGGTTAATATTTTGCTGAATGTAATTCTGGTGTAATCCTGGGTGAGGTTTGTCATTTTAAAAACAGTTTTGCAGTTACTAGTCAGTGTGGTCTTAC